CTGCCGCGACGACAAAATATTTCCGTTACGCAGCCTCCGACAAACTTCTCTCATTTGGCGGATAAGATGAATCTGCGAGAAGAGAGAAGAAGAAAAAAAACTGATGTTCAAAATGCATTAAATGTTTTTCATGTATGACTGCATTTTTGCTGACATTTCAGCTCCGTGCTCATTAATATGGAGACCAAATTAAACTTATGATTGCTTGTTGATTTTCTCTCCCTCTCTCCTCTCCTCTCCTCCCCCATCTTCCCCTCTCGCCTGTTTCGTCATGCGTTTATCTCTTGTTTCTCTGTTTGGAAAGCTCTTTATGTGTTTTCTTAAACCATATTCATAGTGATATGTATAATGTATAAATATGTCTCTTTGTAAAAAAGTATTACCATGTTTGTGGTGGAAAAAAATCACAAAAGGTGTTTTTCCTTTAGAGTTTATCTAATAATACACCACTATTTATCTCTCTTTCACTCTCTATTTATTGACTGTATCTCTCTCTTTCACTCTATTTCTTCACTTTATCTCTCTCTTTCACTCCATTTATTGACTGTATCTCTCTCTTTCACTCTCTATTTCTTTACTGTATCTCTCTCTTTCACTCTATTTCTTCACTTTATCTCTCTCACTCTATTTCTTTACTGTATCTCTCTCTTTCACTCTATTTCTTTACTGTTTCTCTCTCTTTCACTCTATTTCTTTGCTGTATCTCTTTCACTCTATTTCTTTGCTGTATCTCTCTCTTTCACTCTATTTCTTTGCTGTATCTCTCTCTTTCACTCTCTATTTCTTTACTGTATCTCTCTCTTTCACTCTATTTCTTTACTGTATCTCTCTTTCACTCTATTTCTTTGCTGTATCTCTCTCTTTCACTCTATTTATTTACTGTATCTCTCTCCTTCACTGTCTTTGTAGTGTCCTCTTCCTCCTCCCTCTGTCTCCGTCCTCAGGCCTGTGTATCTCAGTCCATCCTTGCATGGAGATTGACTAGAGGCATGAATACATCACAACTAGCCATCCATGCATCTCCTCCCCCCTCCTCACCCCATCACTCCCTCCCCCCTCCACCGTCCCATTTCTCAAAGATCCCTCTCTCAGCACTTATCTCAAAGTTCGGATCTCATGCATTTTAATCGGCGTGTCTGTCGTCCTTTCTCTCCTTCTTTTCTTTGACTTTGGATCAGTGGCATCCTTCAAACAAACAACAATAACAACAAAACAACCCCCCACTCCTCCTCCCCACCAGCTCTTTTTCCCCCTTTTAAATCAATATTTGCCATCAGCGAATAAATCGTATAATTTCCTCACTGTTAGACGAGTGTGACGCCGACATATTTACCTTCCACTCGTCTCTCTCTCTTTTTTTTTGTGCTGTCGATCCCTCGTTCTCGCGGCGTGGCTATTAGCTAAGTGAAGGGGATGGATGGCCGTGAAGCGCCAAGCGATAGCATCTCCATCAGAATCGGCGACAGTGAAAAATGGCTGCCGCCTCTCTGATGACAGCGCAGCAAAAACACACACACACACACACACACACATGCATATGTCCTCACACACACACAGAGTCAGACAAGAGACATTTAAATATTCAAATGGGCCCAGGCGGTAATGATAAATGACAAGGGAAAAGTAGAATCAAGTAGCTATCGATGCAGAAAATGAAAAGAGGAGAAAGAGGAGGGAAATTAAGCAAAAAAAAAAAAATGGAGGCATCGAAGGAGAGTTACGCCAACAACTGAAAAGAGGAAAGAAAGAGAGGAGCTGGATGGAGAATGATGGAGAAAGAGGAAGTATGGATTACAAGAGGAGGGCTGAAGGAGTGTTACACTAAAGACAATAAAAAGTGTTGAAAAATGGAGGGAGGGCTTTAAATGAACAGACAAGGACAAAGAGAGAGAGCGACAAAAGACGAAAGGACTCGAGATAAAATAAAAAGGAGAGAGAGAGGACAGGATGACGGACGATTTGAAAAGTTTAATTGAAATATTTTAAATTGGAGCGGACACAAACAAGTTTAACAAAATAGGGGGAAGCAAAAAGGAGGATGTGAAAGAGGAGAGAGGGCAGGATGATGAAGGGATGAAAGAGAAGAGAAGAAAGGAAAAGGAGAGAGGAAACAAAGGATGTGACGAAATGAGTTCAGAGCGAAAGAGAATTGAGAGAAATCAAGCAACAAGGACAGTTTGAAGGAATGAAAAGAGAAGGAAGTGTAGCATCAGAGAGCATCTGCTGGATTTGGAAATACAACGAATGAAGTCCTAAAACCTGTCAAAGACTCAACTTTATTTGCACTTCTTGTTACCTCATCTTTGAAGTCAATCGCCCAATCTCGATCTCCACCCTCACGGACTTTGAGGCGCGTCCCTTCAAAGTTCGTGAGCGCTCTCTCGCAGACATTTTGACCCTTTTATGAACGCTCTCCGTAAATCCACATTTCAGCAGACTTTGCGTGAGGGAATTACCTACAATTTATAACATTTTTAGGTTGAACCAGGTGGCAACCTCCTGTTCTGCCGAGTGAAGCCGATGCGAAAGTGTCTGCATTCTCTCTAGTGTCCACCAGGGGGTGACTCCTCTGGTTGTATAGAAGTCTATGAGAAAATGACTCTACTTCTCTCTTGATTTATTACCTCAGTAAACATTGTAAACATGAGTTTATGGTCTCAATCTCTAGTTTCAAGTCTTCTTCAATACAGCATGATGTTCATTTAGTAAATGATGGTCCATTTAGAGTCAAACAGACCATAAAGCAGGGGATGCTTTAGGGGCGGGGCTACAGAGTGATTGACAGGTCTCTACCAGCGTCTCTATGTCACTCCTCCTCAGTCCAGATATGAAACAAAAGTTGCAGAGGTGTCTTAAAAAAAGAGTGTGAATGAGACGACTAAACGTCCTCACTAGAACACTAGTCCTCCTTTAGCTCAGTGGAGGAGACGTGAAGTCATGTGACCGTGGTGGAGTTCTTATATAGACTAACGTTAGCTTTTTACTTTACACTTCAAACAACATCACAAAACGTCTAAGTATCATAAAAGTTTGTTTTCTGCAATCATCCAAAACCCAATGGAAGCTTCTTGTGGAGGGAAACAGCGTGATTCTAACTTCCTGTTGGACTACAAACATATTGAATTCCTGCAGAACTCTAAAGAAAAAGAGAGAACAGCAGGGAATCATTTCTCTTTCTTCCAGTATTCAGTGTGTAAGGAAAGAAAATCACATTCCTTTCAGTTGAATCTGGTAAAATTCCTGGTTGGGTTTAGTTGATGAAGTCCTCATACATATCTTATAAGAATGCATCAGTTCATTACGTACAGTAAGCTCAATAAATATCAATAAACTATGTGGAAGAAGAACACATGATATAAATAGAAAAGCGTGCAGTGTCTCGGCTCCCCGACCGCAGCGCTCAAACAAAAGCACAAACCAGAAGATATTCACTGATACAAAATGGAGCACTTCTTTAAAAATGTCTCCAGAAAGAGACTCGTGCAGTCTGCCGCCGAGCGCTGCTGCTGCGTTTGATTCCCGCTCGTCTGTGCAGCTGCCACAGTTTTACCTTTTTAAAGCGGTCAAAGCAGCGACTGAGATGTGCTGAAGAACTGCTACGAATGCCTCAAACATTTCATCACGAGATGAGCTGCAAACAACAACATAAAAAAACAGATCTGCTCCGCTTGTGTGTGTTTTGAAAGACCAGTTAGAGGAATGCTCCACCAAAAACGCCGTGTTTTGAGTATCAAATGTTCTCCACCTGCAGACTCCAGGAGCTTCCTCTTCTGTGGAGGACGAGTGTCATATCAGAGAGCTGAACTCCACCATGTCTCCTACAAAATATCTCTCTTTTTGTCAGATGCGTTTTGGAGGAAACATAAGGAACTGCTCGGAATATGTTTCTGTGCACAAAAGTTGCATAAACACCCCCATAACAATCTTAATCATGCTTTAGTTGCTTTGGGTGGAAATTAAAAAGAAAATAAATAAAATATTGACTGTGATTGATTCCACGATATACGGATTAAAAGACATTACGGTCGCTACAAAACATCTTTGGGAATATGCAAATTAGTTTTAAATGAATTGTTATGGTGTCCATGTCCTGCTATTTGCTCTGTGATACACTGGCACTATTAGAATTGTTTAATATATATATAACATGTGGATGAGTGACTTATGCACACCTGTTGGAAACAGATTTGTCCAAAATGACAAAAGCAAACGGTAGAAACGTTTTAGCTCCGCCTTTCAGGAAAACCATTTGATACTTAAAGTAAAATAAGAAATAATTCTCCATCAAGTTTTCTTTTTTTTCCAAAGCTGGTTGAGATCTGTGTGTCTGTATTATGTAGACTTTGTCCAACTTAAATGACGAGCTAATAAGACCAGTTTTTCCTAAATATGGGGAACAAAAGTTCTGTAATCTTTTGAGTCCGATCGAGGTCTTTTGTCCTCCCTTTCTTCTATCCACACGTTTCCTGTCAGCTCTCCAGTGAATCCACAAGAATACGTTCTTTAAAAGAGGAACTCCACCCTCCAGTCAGGAAGGGTTAAGCTTAGTTTACACTTGAGGTGCGTCAGACGGGTCACAAATGGTTCTCTGATATCATGTCTGAGGATTTTACAAAAAAAGCCAATTCATTTTTAGATGCTTTAGAAACAGGAGGTCTTAAAATTCCACATTTGAGTAAATATTTTGCAGCCAAATTAAATAGTTTACAGGATATTAAACCGTTGTTTCTTTATAATACATTTGATACTTGACTTGTTTCTTTACAGTTCTTGTATAAAGACATTAAAGTCGTCCATGAATATGAGATTTGAGTTTACAGATGATTACAATCCCTCGTTGTCATTGAGGAGGTTGTTTTATGGTGTGTTGACGGTTAAACTTCAGGGTTTGGGGTGAATTTCAATGAAGGTATTGAAATTCTGTTTCATTATGTTTCAAAATGTCACCAGTTGTAAAGTCTGTCCACCTGTGTGACGGCTGTCTGTCCTCCGTCCTCCAGAGCAGCCATGCTGAGCTGATGACGATGGAGAGCAGGAAGACCAGCCTGCTGGGCCGAGCCGAGTCCCTGAAGAGGAGCGGAACCGAGCTGCCCGGCAACTTCCACGGCAACGTACACAACCTGACACACACGTGGAGACAGCTGGAGGTAACACACACACACAAAAACACACGGTGTCAAGTTTCAGCGACAGTGTCTGGAGGATCACATATCTCTCTTCTGTCAGGACTGTGTGTGAGTGTGAGGCTAATTTTAGGCTAATCAGCACTGATCTAATCCAGAACATGGAGATGATAATTAGTGTCGTCTCAATTAAGGAGCCCTGCTGCCACCACGGCCTTTAAATCTGGGGTGGATTGTATGCTGCGGTGGTTTGTCGGACAAAATATCTCTGGTTGACAAATGATCTCAACTTTCTGGAGCTTTCAATCACTTTAAAATGGTCTTCGTTTCGCAAATAAGTTGCCAGTTTTCATGGGAATTGTAGGTGTTTCAATTTCCATCCTTCCCCAAGGCTCTTCATGGATCTTTGTGAAATTTCGTTCCAGATCTTAGACCCAGCAGCACATTGTAGTAACTAGTGCAATGCCAAATTGAGGCTGTCCATCGCAAGAAAGCAGGCTCACTGATCTGAGATCAAACAATCGAACCAGGCGGTGGTGATAAGGAATCGATATTCTGTTACTTCATCTATCGCCTCAAATGTTTTCTGAAACATATTTTAGTTTCCTGTTCAGCCGTAAAATGAGAAACTTTGTGACTCCGGTCGCTCAGTCGAGCCAAAAAAATAAGCACCACCCACTTGCCGGAGTGAACACACGCCATAGGCTCGCCGGGAGGGCTGATCACAAAAAAACGAAATCAGTCTTTCCGTTTGTTGGCCCCGGATTTGGTGGTCCGAATTGCACCAACTTCGAAACTGCACGTCCTAAGTTCCCAAGCAATACTTCCGCCAAGTGTGAAATAGATCGGTGAGACTCGAGATATGTGAAGGACACAGTCACACATAGAGAGTCCTAGCTTTATAGACCGCCTCCAAACCTCCTCCTGGTTTGTGAGGGTGTTGATGGATGAGTAAAAGGCAAATGGATGAATCACTTAAAATGTATTTTTCTTGTGAAGGCGAGGACGCGTTGGTGTAGCTGGGAAATGTGGTTTTAATTTGGAAAAGCATCAGCACTAACAATGCTGCCTCTTTTAAGACGGCGGCTTCCTGTCATAAAGCCAAAGATCAGTCGCTCGATCAGAGACACCAGGTGATAATCAAGTCTGAGATCGAGGCAGGGTAACCTTGTAGAGAAAGTTTCCTTCAAGTCGTCATCACAGGAGAAAGTCATCGGGAAATGAAAACGCAGAGAAGCGTCTGCACAGGTTCAGATTGACTGAGAGACGAACACACAAACAGCTGTTTGATTTTCCAATCTGTTTGAAGCAGCTCTGCACTGTGAAGACTGAAGACGTCCTCCGTCACTGTTTGGAGGGAGGGCACATCGTTTCTACAACACAGCTGAAGTCGTGTGATAGTCGACAGTGTTTGAGTGCATGAATACGTAAAATACGTACAAACCGGGAAAGATAAACAAATTACACCTAAAGTCGTAAACCAAAGGAGAAAAACGTAATCTTTAAGACTTCACTCTACAGCTGATGTTCTGAAAACTCTAAAATATAGCATGAGGTGCAAAGGACTTTGTTTTACGTCGCTATCTCGGTATTTGGGCGTTATCATCTTGGTTTTTGACTGTCGCCATCTTGGTTTTTGACTGTCGCCATCTTGGTTTTTGCCCTTCACCATTGCCATCTTTTTTTTTTTTTTTACAACCTGAAGTGACAGGAGAGGGTGAAGCAACAGGACACTATCGGACATCTTTGTTACATTTAACGTTGGTGAAGTGAAAACACAAAGTGAAAGGATTGAAGTTGTAAAGACGAAAACACAGACAACCCCCACACAGGTCTCTCTCTCTGTCAATCACAGTAAGCCCCGCCCTAAAGCATACCCTGCTTTATGGTCTGTTTGACTCTAAATGGACCATAATTTACTAAATGAACATCACGCTGTATTGAAGAAGACTTGAAACTAGCGATCCCCTTGTTTTCTAAACAATTTTCATCTTCTTTACTTGTTTATGAGGAGATGAACTTTTGCTACGTGAACACCTGAAGTAAATCCTACCTGCGACTCTTCTGTCTGTAACATTCTAAAGTTTGTGTGCCTTGCTGACGGGCACGTAGGCAGCAGTTGTTCATCTTCACCGGGGCGTGGTGATTAAATCCAGGTCTGTGGTGACGGTGACAGCTGGCTGGCGGCTCGTCAGGAGGCTCAAATGTGACGATGTGACTTTGTTCCTCCGAAGAATCAAACCGTCTCCTGTCGACTGAGCGGCCGCGTACACACACACACAGAGCCATCTGTGTGTGTGTGTGTGTGTGTGTCGACTGAGCGGCCGCGTACACACACACACAGAGCCATCTGTGTGTGTGTGTGTGTGTGTCGTCTGCTTGTAGTCCCTAATGACGACACACACACATTATCGTCTCACACACAAGTTCAAAGTTATTGGAAGTCTGTGTTTGTATTTACATATGTATCAACCTCTGAAACAGATTCAGTTTTTGAAATTAAACAACAGCAACAGATGAGTCTCCGTCTCTCTCTCCGTCTCTCTCTCTCTGTCTCTCTCTGTCTTTTAGCTATGGTTTACACCTTATAGTATGTATTTTAAACAATATGTTGCATACTCTACACTGTTAATATTTAGCAGGACAGAGTAGCTAATGTTTCTTTAAAGTATCAACACCTCCTTCCTACTCCTTTATTTATTTCTCTTCTCCCCTCTTTCCATCTTTATTACTTTCTTTGATCAGTTCTACAACAATAAGAACTTAAATATAATCAAATCATTTTAGGCAAACAATGTCAAACATTAGCTCCTCGACTGTTGGGGCTTGATGTGTTTCTTTGTGAAAAGTAAATTAAATATCTTTAACCGTTGGTCAAATAAAATAAAGATGAACTTTAGGCTGCAGGATCATTTTAAACGGCATTTTTCATTATTTTCTGACATTTTATAGAGAAAGTAATCAATACAAAGAAAAAACAGAATGATGGACATTTTTGTTTGTTGCAGCCACACTTTCTTTGTCCTCCCACTCTTTCTTCACCTCCCCAGACCTCTCCATCATCCTCTGTCACTCTTCCTCCCGTGTCCTCCCCCCTCATTCATTCTTCCTCCTTTCTCTCTTTCTCTCATCCCTCTCTTTCTTATCTGAATTTTGAAGGTGATTTTGTTTTTCTTGCCAAAATGTTCCCGATATATCAAAGGTCTCACCTCCGTTTGTCTCTCTTTCTCTCTCTCTATTCGTCTTTGCTTCCCTCCCCCTCCTCCCCCTTCCAACATGGCGTCTGAGTAGCATATTAACGGGCCTATCAGTGCTGGCGTCGGCATCTGCTGCTCTGACACAAATTGGGAATTAACTGGAATTGATGTCCTGTGCCTCGCCTCTGAACTGTCCTGGCCTTATGAAGAATTTATGATACACACACATGCACACACGCAGAAGAAAATAAAGAGGTTGTAAATTAACTTTAATCTTTTCTGTTGTGGATTTTGGCAGCAGCTTGTCATTTTTCGCAGTGGTTCAAGGTCAAACTGTGTGAGGAGACAGACAGACAGACAGACTCACAGACTCACAGACAGACAGAC